ACACGACGACGGCAACGACGACGACGACGCCGACGGCGGAAGAGAACGACGACAGCGGCGACGGCGGCGTCGGCTTTGAGACCGGCGTTCTCCTCCTCCTTCTCCTCCTTCCTCCTCCGCCCTGGTCCTCTGACCCTCTTCCTCCTCCTCCTCCTCCTCCTCCTCCTCCTTCTCCTTCGCCTCCCCGCTCCTGACGAATGACGACGCTGATGATATCTATTGACGCGCGACCGCGATGTACTACATTCACGCAATGGACGTATGTCCCTGAAGCGTGATCCTGATGCATGCATGTGCCTACTGTGTGATCTGTAAGTGTACGGTCGGTGTGATGGACGTTGCTGATGACACATGATGCGACTACATGTGGTTCATGCCCACCGAAGGAACATGTCACCAATGCGTACATCTTGCATGGCATTGCTATATGTTCGGTATGTCTGTTCCTGATGCACGTCGCTGGGCCCTTAATGGGTATGCCTTGTGTCGGTATTGGTTTGCGATATTGATGTCTGCGGGCAGCGTGACGTCATGACACCTCTCCCCGGCTGGGCTCGACGAAGCGGGACACTCAGGAACACTTGGAAGTTTGTCGGGCCTGGCGACCGTGGTATGCATGAGTGGCGAGGCGAGATACTCCTTGACCGCCCTGGCTTAGTTGGGCCTGAGGGCGGCGGTATGCAGGGCTGGCAGGAGCGGGACACTCGGGAACCCATCCAGATCGGTTGGACCTGGCGGGGAATACATTGCCGAATGTCCGCGCGGATTTCGTGTATCGACACTTGACCCTCTCTCTGGCTCGCGGAGGGCGCCAAGATCGCGCCAGGAGCGGCGCCAGAGGCGCCGCCAGGGGAGTCCAGCGCCGATCCCAAGACATCCACACGGACCTTCGAAAGTCTTCGAGCGGAGGGGGGGGGGGGCGAGGGGATGGAGGGAGAGGGTTGGGCGAGGGGAGGGAGGGAACAGGCAGGAGGGAGCATGGACTGCGGAGAAAGCGGGGAGGACGGATGACGACGACGGCGGTCGCGACGGCGGCGGCGACAGCGGCGGCGACGACCACATCAGCGGCAGATGCATCGGCAGCGACATCAACGATGGGCACCCAAGGGTCTCTGGAGGTCCCAGAAGGCTTCATCTGGAAGTCAACGGAGGCCTCCAGAGGCCCCCCAGAGGCACTAAAAACAGGGGAGGTCCAAGGTACCTGGATCCCCGATCCTCGAATCTCGGACGACGGCGAGGACGACAACGGCGGCAGCACCAGCGACAGACGACGACGGCGGCGGCGACGAGGCCGACAACAAGCGACAACGGCGACGACGGAGGCAAGGAGGACGAGGCAGACGACCACGAGGGCGAAGAGTGGGAGGAAGACGACGAGAACGAGGCCGAGAAGCATGACGACGACGAGGATACAACACAAGACAAGACAATGACATCAGTGCTCCAAGAACGACTCCGAACAAAAAAACAATAGAACTCAGCGCGCTGACAAACTGGCTCGGACCAGCCGCAGCAGACGTGGGCAGCCTGTTGGGAGCCACCCGCGCGTCCCCACTGATAGAGTAACGAAGCACGGCATTAGATTAGCATAACCATTAGACGGTGCGCGCGGATCTCTCGGACCGGCGCTGGACTCCCTGGCGGCGCCTCCAGCGCGCTCAGCGCGCGGGGGAGGGTGGGATCCAAAGCGGGTCATAATCCGCGAGGCCCTCCGAAAGAGTATGTGCATGCAGTATCTCCATGTGTTCCTCCTCCTGCGCTCTCGACCCGCGAATCAAAAGGTGTTCCTCCTCCTGCCCTGTCATCATCCTCCGCGCGCCAGGCAAGGAGAGCCGCGTTCGTCGACGTCGTTCGCCGTTCGTCGTTCGTCAGCCGTCGTCATCGTCGTTCGTCGTTCGTCAACGTCAACCCCCGTCGTCGTCGTTGTCGTCGTCGTCGTCCTTCGGAGTCGCGGACCTCCGAGGAAGACTGTGCCTCGTGCAGCCTTTCCTCCTCCAGCTGTTGGCAGGGCAACCCTCCGCGCTAGCGCCGACGACGAGGACGAGGACGAGGCCTACGCCAACGACGACGACGAACGCAGGCGGCTCGGCGGCGAAGGCCGCGCTGCCCTCATTTTGGGACCCCGCCGCGCGCGCGGCCGGCAGGCGCGCGCGGCCCAACCTCTCGCCGTCGGCCCCAGGGACGGCGGCGGGCGCCCTCGTGCTGGCGGCGGCCTCCCAGCTGGAGGGGGGGAGGCTGCGGGCGGGCGGGCGGGGGCGGCGGCCAAGGGCCGAGCGGCAGCGAAGGGCCGCGAAGAGCGGCGGCGGCCGCGGCAGGCAGTGCGGCGGCGGGCGGGGCGGCCGCGGGGGCCGAGCGGCAGCAAGGGCGCTCTTGGCTGAGGTGGCGGTCGGCGGGCGGCGGCGGACGGGGCTCGACGGCATCGACGTGTCGTCGGAGGGCGGAGGCAGCGGCGGCGGCGAGGCTGACGGCGAAGGTGCACATGACGGCTGCGAACGGCGCGGATGAGGAGAGCGGCGACGACGAGGTCGACGGCGGCGGGGACGAGGACGGCGACGACAGAAGGACGAGGACGGGGGCCGAGAGCGACCGACGACGGACGACGAGGACGGCAGACGGCGGACGACGGTGACAGCAGACGACGGACAACGGTGACGACGAAGGCGGCGGCGACGACGGTGACGGCGAGGATGACGACGTCGGCCGGGGTAGCACATGCGACAACGGGTCCACTCCCCATACGAATAAGAGGAGGATGGTGGGAGGATGGAGGGAAGAGGAGAGGGAGGAGGAGGAGGAGGAGCGAGATGACAGGAGGAGGGCGGAGGAAGAAGCGGACGATGGGCAAGGATAGGAATGGGAACAAGGAAGATGGCGCGGAATAGGGAGGCGAGGACCTGGATCCTCCTCTTGTCTAAACCTCTCCTAAGGCCGACCCCCACGTATCACAGCAACCTTTTCCTGCAACACGCCCCTAACCCCCCTGAGCCCGCCCCTTCCACTCACCTCCTGAGGCCATATCAGGCAACGGATTGTGTAATCGTGGGCTTGACTGGCACGCAGCTTGGTTATGTTTGTCTCTCCCAGTAAACAAATGCAAATACAAGCCTCGAACCCCATGGACCTCCTCTTCCTCCTCCTTCTCTTCTTCCGCTTGTCCCTCCTCCTCCTCCTCCTCCTCCTCCTCTCATTATGTTCCTGCTCCTCCACCTCCTCCACCACCTCTTCCTCCTCATTCTCCTTACCATCCATCCTCCTTCGACCCTCTCCTACTGAACCTCCTCCTCCGCGCGCTGTATGTCTCGACGTCTCTTGTTTATCTCTCTCTCTCTGTCCCTATCTTTCTCTCTCTCTCTCTCTCGCTCTCTCTCTCGCTCTCCCCCTCCCCCTCTGTGCTCCGATTCCTCCTCCTCCTGCTGCTCCACCACGTTCCCCCTCGCATTGTTTCCCAACCCCCTCTCCGCAGTCCGAAGACCTCCCCCGAACAGAGGGAACACACAAGGAGGAATTCCACAATCGCCAACAACTAAGCCTGACATAACACATGATAACGAAACTATGGGACATCCGAAAGCCCCCAGAAAACAGCCGAACAAAATCCGAAGGCACTCGACCATCCGTAATGCAACCAACCGAGGGCCCCCCAACATCATCCGAAATATCAACGTGCTGCTGGAACCTCCGAATAGATAACCAGTTAAACCACTGGAAATGGCATCCGACGTCATCGTTATATCCTTCGGCAACCCCGCGGCGTCGGCCGCAAACAAGCGGGAAAGACTAGGACGACGGGCCTCCTGGGGCCTTCAGAACTCCAGCTGTCCTTCTGGGAAGCCCCAGCGCCATCCCAGACCGACGTTCCCCCCGTGAAACGTAGCCGCGGGCCACCGTTCTGGCCACAGGACGCGCCAAGACCTGGCCCAGGAGCGTCCCGACGTGAGCCCAGAGGACAACTCTCCAAGGTACACCTGATGACTGTCCTGGGGCGCGCTTCGGCACGATTGTCCCATGGATTATTTGACGAACGCATATAACGATACACGTGTGTAGCAGTATACATAAACATATATAAAAATACAAATGTGTAAATGTGAACATACATATTGATATACACACTAGAACCACGCGCACGCTTCCCACGCGCTTCTGTGGAAACAAACCGATGGCTGGGTTCAAACAAAGACCGAATAGTGAGCAAGATGAGAGCATCAGTCGGCATCTGAGGGCTACCCCGGAGCTCCCTGAATATGTTCGTAAGTTCGGGGAGTGTCGCTTCTGCCTGCCCGATTTCGTGCTAGGGGTTGGCCATATCAATTTGACGACGCCGGGGCCTTGATGAAGATAGTCGCCATCAATGAAACGCAAAGCTTGTCGTCCACTGCTGGGTCGGCACAGCTGGCGGATGGCGCCGAGAATCCTGGTGGAATCCTCGCAAGGCGTGGCAACAAGCAAATGCGCCAACGCGCTGGAGAGTTTGGCGTCGGTAGATGCCATCGCCGGAGGCCTGTCCGTGAACGGCATCTCGGCGCTGACGCACGGGTTGGCCACGTCGTCCATGAAGGGGCCCACCAAGCGAAGCACAGAAGAAGCCGCGAGCACATTTGCATGGACGCTGTTGCGCCACAGGGCATACGACTTGGCAAAGAAAGGCTGCCAACTCTGTCCGGTTCCGGGCTGACCGCGCCCAGTGGCTGACCAGCTGTGGGCGCGGCCTTTGCGGCTACAACCTCAAGAAGCTTCATCGCCGCGTCCACGGGCATCGATGCAGGAGCATGCTGCTCCGCTGTCTGGCGCGGCTGCTGCTGCTGCTCCTGCGGCTGCCCCTGCTCCTGCCCGTCTCGCACGGATACATCTTCGGGGACCTCCGGAAACGGCATGTGGGCCGCGTCTATCGGAGCAGCGCTGGGCTCTGCCTCCGCAATTCCGGCCCCAGTGTTCGCAGCTGCGGCGCGTAGAAGAAACTGTCGAAGCATCCCCAACGTCAATGTCAACGCCGGTGCTTG